GTCCACAGGATATAGAGGACTTATCCTTGTGTCCGGTCAGAGCCTTGAAGATATACCTTCAAAAGACTGAGACGAGGAGACAAAAATTCAAGCGCCTGTTCATCCCATTATCAACAGAGACTTCTGTCTCAAGAACGACCATATCGTTCTGGATGAGAGCCGTTATATTGAGAGCCTATAAAGCAGCTGGACTAGAACCTCCTAGAGCTTCCAACCCACACGAAGTCAGAGCACTGGCGTCAACACTGGCTCTGCTTGGAAATTGCTCTATACCAACAATTATGGAGGGCTGCTTTGGAAGTCGGACACAGTATTTGCCAACCACTACCTCCGAGACATAGCCACTGAAGACGTCTCAGGCATTCACCAATTTGGGCCTCTTGTTGTAGCACAGCAACTAACGGTTCCTCAAAGGCGCTGAGTTGGAAAATCTCACCCTTTATCATGTTGACTTGTTGATAACTTTTACTAAGGTGTACTAGTTTGAAAGTCTATGCGCACAGTCTAAGACAGGCTAACATGAGTGATTAAAGATCCTGTACGGGTAAAGATCTTACCTGTACGTGAAGGGGTCGCAACTCATTTATGATAAAGATCTTATCATAATCTATGGGTTGTTATGAGTTATCTAGTAATAAGAAGATACTAGTGTATCTGTAGCCACAAAGGTTCATCAGAGGCTCTGAGTTGGAAAATCTCACCCTTTATCACGTTGACTTGTTGATAACTTTTACTAAGGAAAAGTATTAGTTTGAAAGTCAATGCGCACTGTCTAGGACAGGCTAGCATGAGTGATTAAAGATCCTGTACGGGTAAAGATCTTACCTGTACGTGAAGGGGTCGCAACTCATTTATGATAAAGATCTTATCATAATCTATGGGTTGTTATAAGATATCTAGTAATAGGAAGATACTAGTTTATCTATAACCACATGAATCAACATGATTCAACTTGTCTGAGATTGAAGTAAGACAAGAAAGTGGTTCCCCCGAGTAACGGAAATTGGAAGAATAGGATCACGGAAATGCCCTTTCGCAGTTCCCATGGGGGGGATACAGGACGTATCTGAGGACAGCTGTTGAATCCAGTGGCTTGACCCTCCACCTATCTGTCGGATTCTATAAGCTAAAGATCATGAGTCAGGATAAGGACAAATATGTAATTTTTAAGGTAAAATTGATATTTTATACTTACCCTGACTCATGACGAAGAAGCCCTCCCAACCTCCCCGTTGAAGACACTTGAGATTTCACAGCAGATCCAAGTGCATGGGCAGAAAATCAGGAGAGAGTGACAAGTAAGGCACGTCACATGACTGGTTTGCGTGGGAAAGGGCAAAGGGAGGTAACTCGTGGGTGAGTGTATTTATACGTCTGCTTCGGGAACTTCAAGGGATTCAAGTGTTCCACTACCATTCGAAGAGGAAAGGGAGATAAGCAAAAGATCATGAGTCAGGATAAGTATAAAATATCAATATTACTTAAAAAATTACTTTTTGCCTCTTACCAAGAAACATAAAGATGGAACTAGTTTTAACCATGCCTGGTTTGCAGCATTAAAGAACGAATAAACTTTGTTTTTTGTTCGCTTTTAACCATTACATATGACAGACATGTGGTTAGTCTTCAGCGAAACACCAAATTCATTCTTAAAAAACTTGTGGTTAATCAATACCGAGCGATTAAAAGTGGCCAAAAAGTCATCTGCTTCACACTCGCCCGCCAGTAAAACCACAGAGATGTTACGTTACGCTGTTGCCAGAGCACTGCTGCGAACCGGAAGTGACGTTATGTGCGGAAGGATTTTCAGTTAGTTGTATATAAAATGTGTAACAAGCTCATCATTTTGCTGGTTTCTCGACGTCAACGAAGACATGTCGAATCGTTGCGTTGCCGTCAATTGCTCCCAGGGATTGGGTGATGGTGTCACCATGCACAGATTTCCACCGACCCCCGCAGTTCATGCTAAATGGTTATGTTTGCGAGTGCCAAGCGAGTGTTGTGGAAGCCTGGAACGATATCTTACTTGTGTTCAGATCACTTCACAGAAGTTAAAAAGTCAAAACTACTTACTACATGTAGTTGTGGTAAAATATGTATATGATTGATGACCAAAAGGAGTTTGCATGACACAATTTGTAACATAAGGATTTCTTCCTCAGAAGCGAGGTTGTGGTCGAAGTGACAATAAAACTGTAAGTAGTATTATATTGACACCCACCTCGCTTCCAAGAGAAAAATTGTTATGTTATAAGCTATGTCATGCAAAATCCTGTTGGCCATCAATCAAATACATATTTTACTACCAGTAGAAAGTAGTTTTGATTTTGTCTTTTGAACTCAGTGAAAACAAACCTAAACAGCATCTATTCTCAGACTGGCGGATGTTTGCGACAGGGCCCCGCTGTTTTTAAAAATCGTGATGTCACAGGCTAAAGTCTGTTCGAGAATCAATGAGATTGTGGTTTGTTTTCATCAAGTTAAAAAATCAAAACTACTTTCTACTCGTAGTTAAATATGTATTTGAATCATGACCAAAGTTAGTTTGCATGACACAACTTGTAACATATCGATTTCTTCCACGGAAGCGAGGTGGGGGTAGAAGTGACAATATTGCGCGATAAATGTCATGCTACATTCACGTGGTTAACGTCCACTCACCAGTTATCGATCTTTTTCCTGTAACCGTGATGAGCGATGGTGATCATCGTTTTTCCTATCACTGGCGTCTGGCTTGAACAAATAAGGCCTAGCGACAACATTTTACCCCCGGAAATGTACATCAATTCTAAAGCGCCCACTCGTATGTATACCTAACATTATGTCACGGAGATGCGCCCCTCTGATTGGTTGAAATTTCGTTCGCGAGAGAGAATTGTGCTCTGTTGTCAAAAAGGTGGATTTAAGTTAATTAAAGGTCGAAATGAGTAGTTTTAATGACAGGGTTCCATTTATAACGATACCAATTAATGATTTATGTATTTGTACCCCCTGGAGTATATATGATCTTGAAGGAAGTAAAAGAAGAACTGGTCAGCTCAAAGTATAGTAATGTGTTAATCTCTGACTAACACTGTGAAAACTGACCTAAGTCCAGACTAGTACAAGCAGTAGGAATGACAACTTCTTTATAGATACTTTTACCGTTTTCATGCTTTCATGTGTTTACACCTCATGCTTGAAAACGGTATAAGTATCTATGCCGAAACGTCGCTATTGTACAATAAAGAAGTTGATCATCCATAGACATGATAAAGACTTGCCATACCTATTGCTTACAACTTCTCAAACAGTTCACAGTACAAGCAGCCACACACAAATGCATTCATGCTGCTATTAGACTAACATATAGTCTCTGAAATGAACGTATTTTACAGAAAAAAACAGTTAATAAAAAATATGCATAAAATATAATGAAAAGGGACCCAGCGACTTTCTTCATTTTTAGGTTTGTCACATATTCTAGACTTGCATGAGCTTTCTTGGATATATTTGTTTCAGGGTCTGTATGACAGCCTATATATAAGTGCAAGTATTTTGAAAGTTAATTAGGATCCTTGGTTGTCAATGCCATACATTTGCATGTGGTCCTACCTGAGGGGTATACATCTGTTTCCTTAACTTTTGTCTTTCGGTTCACATTCACCCGTGAAGATCTGGGTTAGAATTGGTCTTCAGCAACTCATGCTTGTCATAAGGCGACTAACGAGATCAGGTAGTCAGGCTTGCTGACTTGGTTGGCACTTGTCATTGTATTCCAATTGTGTAGATCGATGCTCATGCTGTTGATCAGTGAACTGTCAGGTCCAGACTCGATTATTTACAGACTGCCGCCATATAGCTGGAATGTTGCTGAGTGGGGCATAAAACTAAACTCACTCACTCACTTTTGTCTTTCTGTTCACATTCACCTGTGAAGATCCGGGTTAGATCTGGTCTTCAGTAAACCATGCGTGCTGTATGAGGCAACTGAAGGGATGGGGTGGTCAGGCTCGCTAACTTGTCACCATATCCCAATTGCGTAGATTGATGCTCATGATGTTGATCATTTGATTGTCTGGTCCAGACTCAATTATTTACAGACTGTCGCCATATAGCTGAAATATTGCTGAGTGTGGCGTTAAACAACCAACCCACCAACCATTCACGTTCAGCTGACTTGTTGTAATGCAACTAAAATAATGTTCAGCCTTATATCACAATGTTTAAGTTTTTTAATGGCATTTTGAAGTGAAGCTCATAATAGTGGAAATGTATGGATGTCAACTTTTGTGATATGAAATTCTTTCTCCTTAACCAGGTGAAGAAGTAAGGTATATACACATATAACAGATTAGGTAGCATCCATAAATCCCCCTTCCCCCCTTATAGTGTTCAAATAATGAGAAAATATGATTCTTGGATGCATAAATTACTGTGCAATCCTTGAAAATGCATTAACAGTTTGGCATATTTTGACAAACAGTCTGTTAATAGGTAATTTGAATTTAAACACACTGTTCTCATTACCAGCATCCTTATATCTCCAGAGATAGCACTTCGGTAAGCCTGCACAAATCACTAGATATATCCTTTTGATCTTCTGATCTCAAATAACCAGCCAGTTCGACCTGCTACACTATGTAGTCTAATGGACCAATCTGAATGCGAGTTACAAATCAGCCTCTATCAACAGCCAGTCCCATTTATGATGATAATTTGCAAATCCAATTAATATTTTAAAAATTGACTGACAAGCAAAGGAAAGTCCTTTAATATATTCTTTTTTTATGGAAAGGAAGACCTTGTGACCATTAAAACTTGCAGTGATAGGACCCTGATTGGTCAGTAACATGTTGATGAAAGAGGTGGATAATTTAGATCGTGAGAACCATGGGGATGCATCCAGGGGTTAGGTTTACTAAAGTGAGTGCTCTTTAGATAGAGTGGATGCATTCACAGAAGAATATAATGAATGCATTTGAGATTTCAGTAGTTAATTTAGTTGTATTTTTCATCAGATTCTGGAGGAGATTGAAAGGGAGGATGAAATGGTGGATGTAACTGATGTGGATAGTACTTGGGAAACAGGACAGAGTGATGCCCCTTTGTTTGTCACAAGTGAAGTTGAGCTCCTCACAGTGAAGCAGGATGAGGGGACAGACAGAGTTGAGGAGTTTGATGAACAAAGCAGTCTTAAACCAGGTATGTGAAATTGGGAGTGGTAACTCGAATTTCTCATGGTTAGTCGTTTGATTGATTGTTTGAAAACAATAACAATTAAACTCCAAGGTTACAATGCTAGTTGGTGATTTCGCATTTCTTTCTGATACTGAAAACTTTCCTTGAACATCTTTTACATGTTTTTTTAAGATAATGCATCAGTCACCTTCAGTGAATGCATGATCACATCTTTTTATGCATGTATCCACATATTTTTTTGCCAGGGCTCAGTTAGAACATTTTCAAGACATATGCTGTACCCAACTCTTGAGACCTACAGTATATTTGGGTAACAGGGAGATCAGGTACCCAGGTTGTACATTTGGACTCATATCAGACCTGCAGTATATGTGAACTTTCAGTAACACAAGAAAATTCATATGTGTCCTCGTGAGCTTTTGTATAAGATTAAATGTGACTGAGCATTTTCTGATGGTGTCTGCAAATCTACATGACTGTACATGACATGTCCACCATTTGAATGTATCCCTTTTTCTCTTGTCATGACAAGGTGAGGGTGTGGTGGCAGTGGTTGATGAGATTCAAACTCAGGAACAGTTCTTTAAGCAACAGCTGCAAGAAATGGACATGAAGTACAGACAGAGGGAGGCAAAATGGAGACAGGTACCATGATATATTATATAGCTGACAGTGAGATAGTCCAGTCTATCAGTGAGATAAATATCACTGGCAGAGTTGTTTACTGTGACTATTGACTATCTATTTTCCCATGTCTTGTAGGACACAGAGACAAGAAGAAGAAAAGAGGAAGAACGAGAGAATGTGGAGAATGAGAAAAGGCGAGAGATAATGTTACAGTATCAACAGGAAGAAGAGACTTTGGCTCAACACAAAAAGGTGTGAAACATGGATCTTAGTGACTATTCCCTGCATATAATACAATGCCTAACAAAAACAAATTAGAATTAAACAGGTAAATAATCTTGTCTAGTGATGTTTAAATGCAAATTTGACGTGTTCACAAAGTTGTTTTCTCTTGTTCGTTCATGCGAAGCAATGCAATGCTGTTTTCTTATCACCTGAAAAAAACGTTTGACAAAAGTGCAATCTGTACATAAGTCAACCCCCTTCTACAGATTGCAGTTTTGGCTTATCTACAGTAATATACGGTATATCTCTCAGTGTTTATTGTGGAAGGGGAGTTGAAAATGTTCAAGTATTTGCTATTTCTTCTGGCTTTTAATTTTTCTTGTTAAATGCTTCACTCTCTCAGTTATATGTAGGTGGTCTGTTAATGATTCTTGTGACTGGTGTCATTAAGTAGCCATCTACACAACTGGGAGATGATGACATGCTTGAACCAAGTTAATGAGCCTTACCACCAGATTTTGTTAATTACATGGGTTGCTGAAGAACAGTTTTCACCCTGATGGGTTTACAGTACATGCTGTATCTCAAGCTTTTGTCAGAGATGATTAATGGGTACCTTGATCATTAGCAACCCATGCTTGTCGTAAGAGGCGACTGACTGGGTCGTCTGGCTCGATGACTTTGGTGACACATGTCATCGTATTCCAGTTGCGTAGGTCGATACTCATGCTGTTGATCAGTGGATTGTCTGGTCCAGATTCGATTATTGACAGGCTGCCGCCATATAGCTAGAATATAACTGAGTACGGTGTAAAAATAAACTCACTCACTAATGGCTATCAAGCAAGTCTCAAAGTAAGGACTAACATGGTCACTATCAATAGCTCAGAGGTGGAGGTCATCAAATTACTACCTTGACAAAAATGTCTTGTGAAATTTGTAGGCACTGAAATATATAACTCTAAGGCCTTATTTCTTCTTGAACACCAGTTTCAGATTGCAATGTAACTCGTATGAGTGAGTGACTGAGTTTAGTTATGCTCCAATTTATTGATCAATATTCCAGCAATATCACGGCAGGAGACACCAGAAAATGGGCTTCACACGTACCCATGTGGGGAATCAAACCCGGGTCTTCGGCATGATGACCGAATGCTTTAACCACTGGACTACGCCACCACCACCCTGATGATCAAGAAGGGTTTGATTATAGAAATGGGTCTGTCAAGTTATTCTTTACACTTCTTTGATATATTTCAGATTGCAGCTGAGAAACTTGAGGCAGAAATTGAAGAAAAACAGAAAATCATCAGTGAAGAAGTTAAAACATTTGAAGTATGTGAAAATAGGGTTTACAATCTTCTCTATTTTTAAACTTATCCCATCTCACGGTATGCACCTCTCTTCTTCTACGACCATGGGTGGAAACGTGCTGTAGGCTAAGTTGAATCAAATCTTACTGGCCTCTGACCCCCCTGACCTCTGCCCCCAATCCGATATCAGCACCTGTCAATCATCTCCCTAAGCGTGCAGCTCGCTCAGATGATCACGTGACTACCTGTGCCTGTCATTCTCTTTCTTGTCGCTACGTCGTGTGGACGGTGCTTGTCTCTAAGAAAGTTTGATTGTTGTTTCAACATGGGTAAATCGAATCGTAATGGTTCTAAGAAGCACAAACATTGTGACAATTGTAACAGTAATTATTCCGCGGCAGATCCACATGTTTTATGTGTAGATTGTATAGGTCGTTGTGATTGGTTTCAATGTTGCACTTTTTGTGCTGGCCTCGACGACAATGCTTTCTCTGAATTTCACCGGGTATCTTGTAGACGCATGTCAGATAGGGATTGTCGCAAAACATCTGAGGGTCCGTCTGTGTCTAAACGTCCTAAGGCAGAACGCCATAAGAAAACTGCAGTTTGATGTTCAAAGTCCCCGTCTCCTAATGAAGATTTCCTAGGGGAGGCGTCTGATTCTTACCTCAGTGAAAATCTGCGTTGACTTTTCCGTCCGCATGCATCGAGCCCTATCACTCCTCATCACCTGGGGCGGTGGGGTAGCCTAGTGGTTAAAGCGTTGGCTCGTCACGTCGAAGACCCGGGTTCGATTCCCCACATGGGCACAATGTGTTAAGCCCATTTCTGGTGTCCCCCGCCGTGATATTGCTGGAATATTGCTAAAAGCGGCGTAAAACTAAACTCAGTCAGTCCTCATCACCTAGGGTTGTTGTTTTATCTACATCTGCTGTTCAGCCCCGTCCGTCTTTGGTGGTAACTGTTCCTCAGCGCCCCTATGTTCCTTTGGTGGGAGTTTCTCATGCGGCGCTTGGTGTGATTCCTAACATTACCTCTCAAGCGACGCTTGCTTGTAGTTCGGCCCTTTCCACTTCGGTGGTTGGTTCTACATTTACTTCCCATTTGGTGCTTGTGTCTGATGTGACACTTGGTTCTGGTACAGTGGATAGTTTCGGTTCGGCGCTTTCTCATCCTCTGGTTGGGTCGACAAGTTTGCCGATGATTCCAGGTGTGACTTTTTCCACATCTATCCCTTATCCTGTAACATTTGGTTACGGACCACCACTTTATTCTAGTGCGTCGTTTACCTCCAAAGCACCGCTTACATCAGGACACTGGTGCCTGGTTGCAGAGCGACCACTTCGGTGGTTGGTTCTACATTTACTTCCCATTTGGTGCTTGTGTCTGATGTGACACTTGGTTCTGGTACAGTGGATAGTTTCGGTTTGGCGCTTTGAGATAATGGAGACGATTATGGCGCCACTTGTTTCCAGTTCGGCGTTCTTGTTTGCACCTGGTTCGGCGCTTACTCACAGTGCTCCCGTTTCGGCGCTTAGTGTATCCAGTTTGGCGCTTCCTCATAGAGCACCGGCTTCAGTGCTTCCTCACAGTGCATTCGGTTCGGCGCTTGCTCAGACTTCAGCGCTTACTTCCAATGTGTCTGGATCGGCACTTGATACACTCAGCTCAGCTCTTGCTTTCACTGCGTCGCTTGCTACCTGTTCGGCGCTTGTTTACATTGATTCCCCGTGCCCCGCTTATTCCCAGTGCGAAGCTTAGTACACCTTGTGTTTCCTATGCGTATTCAGTGGTGGGAGCACCACATTCCTTGAGGACTACTGTTTCTTCCTGTGAAACTGTCACAGCGGGGTTGGGTTTACCACCTAGAGCGCCAAGTGTGAGGGACCCTACGCCTTCATCGTTTCATCGCGGGAACTTGTATCAGTCAGCTGGTTGCTCGTCTTCTCTTAGTGGGGCGCCTCGTCATCCCTCGTTATCTGCTCCTGTTTTGTCTTTGCCTCCTCCAACGTGGGCCTGTGGCAAGACCTATTTTACCGGTTTCCTGGAATCGGGGGTCTGAGGGTCCGACTTCACAACCTGTTGATTTTGACGCTATTGTGCAAGCGGTAGCCTCGTCTTTATGGCATCAGACTCCAGCATCTTCCTCTGCTATTCAGTCTTCTGGCCCTACGTCCGCTCCAGTTCAATATTTAGAGGAAGTTCATCGTTTGGCTACGCCAACTCCCGCTTCAGATGGTACGTTGCCTTCGGATGTTAGCGTTGATGTTGTTGACACACCTCAATTGTTAGTTTGGATTGCCGATAGCCTCCGACTACAGCGTAGTGGTTCGTCTTCAGATTTGTTATCCAGTTTTGATATGAAGACCCGGTGATTTTGGTTCTATCACCTTTCCGCCTTGCCCTTGCATCACTCAATTGGCAGCGTCTCTGGATGAGGCCTTTGGTAACCTGAGGAAGGTTAAGGATGGGTTCGCGGCTCCCCGCTTCCATTTAGCATCTGCTCATGTTTCATGGTTTCTCTATGCTGATTGTATCCCCTCTGGTGGATGATGATATTACGTTGTTGGGAACCAAACAGTAGCTCTTGCATTTGGATAGTGTCATAAGGAAGATTATGGCGCCACTCAACATGGTGTTGATGACAACTGAGGCGGTGGCTATGTCGGTTGCACATGCTACGTCTCATCAACAGGCGTATATTCGGGCGACGATGGTGCTATTACAAGAACAATTTCAGACCATTTTGGATCAGTTGGCTCACTTCTTTTCGTACGTCACAGCTATGCATTGCAGGGGGCCTCTGCACTTATCCTCATGGTAGGATAGGTTCCGAACTGATCTTTTTCGTCAGCCGTGGTCTGGCAGGTCACTTTTCAACAGGGGCGATTAGAGATGTCACTACCAGAGTTGGTCAAGATGTTCATTTACAAGTGTCAGTGGAATTGTTGGAATTCCAACGTTTGCAGGTGGAGGACTCGCTGCGCCAGCGACGGCCAGCCCATTATGTTCCTTCCAATCCGGACCTTCGTACAGGTTCTGCTGCTTCCTTTCGTGGAAAGGGTTCCGGCAGAAGACGTTCCAGTCGTCAGCGTCGGGCATTCACTGCTTCACGACCAGCTCCCACTTCCGACCAGTCCTCCTCTCAAAGACCTGACAAACAGTGACTTGCTGACATTAGAGCGCAACTGGGTTCTTCCTCCTCCAGTCGTGCCCATCCAGACCTCCCCAGTAGGCGGAAGACTTGGGACTTATGCTCCTAACTAGACCATCTTGGGCGACCCTTACATCCTCTCCATGTTGTCCAAGGGGTTTCAGCTGCCGATCATCGGGGATCCTCCTCTGACTTTGCTTCCAGATCAGCAAACGGCTGTTCTTCGATCCACAATAGACACCTTACTTCTTTCTGATTCCCAAGAAGGATTCGGACAAGTTGAGACTAATGTTTAACATGAAATCTTTAATGAGATGTTTCTGTAGCCTCCGCCCCATTTTCGCATGGTGTCGATGGCCCTACTCAAGACCATTATCAAACCGGGAGACTACATGGTCAGTCTCGATCTCCAGGGCCTCCTTTCACAAAGCGCTAAGGTGATCGTAAGTCACTAAGGTAACCTTAGTGCAATGTTAAAGAATGGGAGTTAAGGTTAACCTTAGTTAAGGTTGCTTCGTGAAAGGAGACCCTGGATGTGTACCTTCACATCCCGATCTTCCCGGCTCATCGCAAGTTCCTTCGGTTTGTCTTCGAGGGCACCCACTATCAGTGGTGTGTCCTCCCGTTTGGAATTTCTTCGGCCCCGTGGCTGTTTACACAGGCGACGAAGCCTATCACCAGCTTCCTCCACCGCAAGGGGATAGTTTTCGAAGCTTACATCGACGACTGCATTCAGGCGCAGACCGATCATGCCCTTCTGCTTCGTCACATGCAGTTTGCGATACAGCTTCTTCACCAATTAGGCTGGTTAATCAATCATTTCATTGGAGCAGTGTTCGACACAGAGGTCAACAAACTGTTTGTCCTGAGGGATCGTTTCTGCAAGATACAGCGCTTGGTGTCCCTTGCATTGGCGCAACCCAGGACACTTCATCAATGGCAGGAGCTCCTGAGCCTCTTGACGTCAGCTCAGGCACTGACCCTCAAGGGTCAACTGCGACTTCGACCCTTGCATCTCTTACGCGTTTCCGCCAGTGGCCCTTCTTCCTTTCATACTAGTGAAACACTATTTTTGGTCGCGCCCTACTGGCCGGCCAGAAGTTGGTTCGTATATCTTCAAGAACTAGCCGAAACAAATCCCGTACCACTTCCCGATCGGCTCGATCTACTGGTTCATGCGCACTCCGATCAGCTACATTGGTCCCCGCTCACGCTCCATCTTCACGTTTGGCATATTTACATCGGTCGCTAACAGCCAAGGGCTATTCGAAGCGTGTTGCTACTGCCATTACTACAGTGCATCGCACCTCCACTAGGTCACTCTACAATGACAAGTGGAAGAATTTTGAAGCGTATTGCAGGAAGAAGGGCATAACATCTCCCACTACGGCATCCCCGCAGATGGTAGCATTGTACCTTCAGCATCTTCGAACCTCCAGAATACTCAAAGGTTCTACGCTATCTACTTACCTGGCTGCCTGTAACACGGTTATTGCGTCGGCCTCGGGTGTGAAGGTGTCCACTGTCCCTGAGCTCCAGTCTCTCCTCAGGTCTTATAAACTTGCTGACCAATCCCGGAAGTTCCGGCCTCCAGCTTGGGATCTTGCTCATCTCACGTCAGCTGATTACGAACCTCTGGAGGAGAAAGATTTCGAACATGTCTCCTTTAAGACCTTCTTTCTCCTGGCCTTGGCCACTGCTGCCCGTATATCCGAGTTGCACGCTCTCGATGTCTCTCGGGTACGATTTGTCTAGACATCTAGACATGCTAGAGTTTTCCTTGGTTTGCAGTGGGATTTTCTCGCTAAGAATCAGTTACCAGGACAGCCGGATCACACGTTCACGATTCCACTGTTGTCCACTATCTTGGGCCCAGATGACATAGAAGATCTTTCCTAATGCCCGGTTTGAGCATTATGGATTTATCTAACTGCCTCGCAGGATCGCCGCAGACTGCGTAAGAGATTGTTCATTCCATCATCTACTGCCTCCGCGTCGGAAGTCTCACGCACTACCTTGGTCTTTTGGTGTGGGATGAGAACTACGATCCTGCATGCTTATGCCTTTGCTGACGGCGAAGCCTCATGAGACTCGGGCTCTCGCTTCCACCATGGCGCTTCACAGGAATTGTTCCCTCCAGTCCATCATGGAGGGATGTTTTTGGAAATCAGATACTGTGTTCGCCTCACACTACCTGCGGGATCTCTCCATTACAGACGTGGAAGGTCTATATCAATTTGGCCCCCTGGTCCTGGCGCAGCAATTGTCATCGGCCCGTGTTCGCAGATAAAGCAATCCTTCTTTGGTCGGTTTTGCTCTGTACGTAATAAAAGATATCGATGTAATCCATATCTTGGTACTTTTTTCATTTGGGCTTAGATCTTTCTCACCTAGGGGACTAGGGGGTGTTTGCACTGTCATAAATATGACTTGATAGACTGTGAGGCAAGTCTTGTGCTACATGCAGAGATGGTCGACATTCTGCTTACTGACCTCTACTCTTTGAGCAATTACGTCAGTGAAGTGTTGATTTCCGATTACCTACATGGTTTTTGAAGCGTTCCGCTCCTAAGTCCATTCTCACCTTTGGTAAGTTAGGGGGATTGGTACTGAACGTTAAACTAGTTGAGCAACTGGGCTTTTCCTCTTTCACCGCCAGCGCTTCCAGCGCAGATTAAGGTCTGTGGGGGATAGTTTCAAAGCAGGGACTGGCCAGATTAAGGTCTTCGACTTTTTTGTGCTGTTCACTTGGGTCATCTGATAAATCACGGGCGTTTGCATAGCGGGCCTACTTGCCAAACTGTATCCTTTTATGCATACTTGTCAAAAGTTGCGGCTGAAAACCACATTAATTCAGGAGTGCCCACTCCCTAGAGTTTTTGTGCTGTGCTGTCAGAGATCAGGGGGGTCAGAGGCCAGTAATGTTTGATTCAACTTAGCCTACAGCACGTTTCCACCCATGGTCGTAGAAGAAGAGAGGTGCATACCGTGAGATGGGATAAGGATATAAATATACAATTTATAGTAAAATTTTCACTGTTTCATTTTTCACTTTTTGATGTTGGTAATAGCTATGATTTGTAGTAATGCCCTTTGACATGTTAGAGGTGAAGTTATATTAGGAGGTAAAACAGAATAACATTTCTGATGAAAAAAATGCTAGTTCCCAGACATGGTAGCTGTTACCATGGTAACAGGTGACTATGACAGTTGCACCCCTTAGACCTGCAAAAACATATCATCACAGTTTGAATCCTGTTTGACCTGATTGTGTTTGTCAGCACCCTGCCCATGCTCACTTTGGTGTATCCCACATCAACGTTACATACTGTGACGGAACTGAAAATTCACTTCTGTTGACCTTAAATAGGGCTGTGTGTTGACAAATATATTGTATTGCAATATATGAGTGAGTGAGTTTTACGCCACACTCAACAATATTCCAGCTATATGGCGTCTGTCTGTAAATAATCGAGTCTGGACCAGACAATCCAGTGATCAGCAGCATGAGCATCGATCTACGCAATTGGGATACGATGACATGAGTCAACCAAGTCAGCGAGCCTGACCACCCGATCCCGTTAGTCGCTTCTTATGACAAGCTTGGGTTACTGAAGATCAAGTTTAACCCGGATCTTCACAGGCTGACACTTCAATTGGCGTCAAATAGGGCTGTGTGTTGGGAAATATATTGTATTGCAATATATTGCAATTATGGTACCATATTGCGATGTATTTTGAGTTATAGTGTTTTACAGTGAATGACATTGATTGTGCATGGACAGCTATTCTCTAAAACTTAGGTTGAATAGACGTATTCATACAATGTATAGTATAACATTGTTTACTCACGATTTATAGTATCTAAAGTATACTGTTTTGTCAATTAATTACAAGGGAACACATTATTCATAAATGAATACTGTGTAGATTTTAAATGAAACCATAACAATAATCACAAAGCTTCCTGTATGTTTAACCTGATATACCACTTCTCAGTAGACGGGTAATGCCATGATGACATTAAACTAAATCCCACTCACTATAGCTGGATTGCCTACATGTATGTTTTGAAATGTGTTACATTCCTGACAAAGTACGGTAGGTTTTGAAAGCAGAAGCAGTCTTGTAGCATGAGGGATTGCTTCACTAGCATGGGATTGAAGCAGAAAATGTAGATTGTACTTATAGCTCCATTTTCAATGTGTACCCAGGAGCAGATAACTCTGCTAGAGACAGAGACTCGTCGGGAACAGCAGGAACTTGAGAGATCTGTACAGCTACAGCAGGAGAAGAGGGATCACAGTGAGAAGATGGCTGCCACTGCTATTCAGGCCGGATACAGAGGATACAGGTAACATGATGTTCAAGATAATATGATGTTAAGGGACCGTTAATAATTTATGGCTAGAGGGGTGATGATGATTTTAATGGGGAGTCACCCATTTTGTTCTGGAGAGGTAGGGGGTCATCAATTTTGTACACATGTACTTGGGGGCGGCGTTATTGATTGGTACATGAAATGCGGGGGAAGGGGGGGGGCACTTACTTTGTACATAAATTTTAGGGTGGTCATTCACATAGTACATGCTTTTCCATAAAAATCATCATCACCTCCCGAGCCATAAACTATGAAACGTCCCTTAGTGGTTGTGAAGCTTATGATGAAGAAAGACATGGGATGATGAGGCCTTTTTTGTCACACGGGATTGAAATGATTTTTGAAATAGCTTGGTATACTACTGTAGACTCATGACAGTAAGAATGGCATGTATTTTATTCTTTAGAGTTCGAAAGACATCAAATTCTACTCTGAAACAGAAACGAGAAGAAAGAGCTAAACTTAGAGAGGAGAAAAGGATACAAGAAGTTGAAGAAGAAATAAGACAGAGAAAGGAAGAAATCAAAAAGAAGAAGATAGAGGAACTTGAAGAAGCAAAAAGACAAGAAGAAGAAAGGATTCAGAGAGAAAAGGAGGAAAAGCAAAGGCAGGAAGAAATAAAAAAGGAGGAAGAGAGAATTAAATTTGAAGAGGAAAAGAAGAAAAAGGAAGAGGAAAAAAGACAAGAAGAGGAAGAGAAAAGACAACTGGAATTAAAGATCGCAGAGGAGGAAAGGAGAAAAGAAGAAAACAGGAAGTTAGAAGAGGAAAGAAAGGAAAAGGAGAGACTTGAAAAGGAAAGGAAAGATAAGGAGAGACTTGAAGAGGAAAGAAAAATAAAGGAGAGACTCGATGAGGAAAGGACAGAAAAGGAGAGACTCGAAGAGGAAAAAAAGAAGAAGAAAGAACAGGAAATGTTGGGAAAGGAAAGACTGCAAAAGGAGGAAGAACAATTGAGACAAGAAGCAGAAGGAAAAATATTTCAGGAAGAGAAAGATAAAGAAGATTCCAACTTAAATGAGGAAAACAGATTGAGAGAAGAGAATGAAAGGTTAAAGGAAGAACTACGGAAAGTAAGAGGAGAGAATCAGGAAGAAGATAGTCCAAAATGTCCTTCTGAAACACAACTTGTGGAGCAAGTCGAGAACATAGTGGTGACTGAACCAAGAAAAGAAGCAGAAAAATTACAAGTCGAAAGTAAAGATACATCTAGTGAAGTTCGCAAATCTCTGAAAGAAAAACGTGAGAAATTTGAGGAGAGTAAGCAGCAGAGCACATGCCAGAGCAAGAGTGCTGACACGCTAGGGAGCACCCTGCCCTCCCACCTAGAGGCAAGGCGGCTGGCCTGGATCAAAGAGTGTCTGCCTTGGAGGTAGGTTTGTCTTGGAAAATGTACACACAATGAAACACAGGTTTTCACATTAATCTGTTCGGAGCTTGTATATGTCATGATATATCCTGTATCGATGGAGTATTGAAAAATAACAATGACTTATTATTGTGAATTTGACTGGGTACTGTGGCTTCATTTATGTGGCTTCTCTCTACATGGCAGGATAGCTGATTCGTTACAACAACATTTATGCATTGTTATGATCAAAATTAGTAATAGCAGTCTGTGACTTTAGCAATTAGTCCCAAAAACGAATCTAGTAAAATTCTGTTTAGGCTTGTAAGCTAAGATAATAATTATCACAAATATGAAAATGATGCCTAATTAAGACTTCAGTGTTTTAGTCATAGATTCGTTTATAGACTGTGACTCTATCATGCTAGCAATGTCTTTTTCAACATCTTGGTAAGTTTTGGTGATTTTGAGGTAGAAAAAAATCCCCATAAAAGATGGGGTGACATTGGTGGTTAGACTGTCTGCACATTTAAAATGATTTTTCAGTAAAGTGAGCAATGAACCATGGAAACTCAAAGGAGGTGTGTCCAAGAAGCCCCCAAGACGACCGTCGTCTGCTAAGAAGTTACCTCCCCTGTCTGAGGATGTTATAATAGCAGCAGCCCGAGTTGCTACACTGAAACAAGTGAGGAAATACAAAACATAACGTTTGTTTTAAGGATTTACCATTGTTACCAAGATTACCTTGCTGACCAACCTTAAAATGGTCCATACCATGTTTTGGGCGGTGGGGTAGCCTTAGCGGTTAATGCGTTCACTTGTCACGCTGAAGACACAGGTTCAATTCCCCACATGGGTACAATGTGTCAAGCCCATTTCTCTGTGTCCCCCGCCACGATATTGCTGGAATAATGCTAAAAGTGGAGTAAAACCAAACACACTCACTCATTCACTCACTTTCGTACCATGCTTACCATGTTTAGCATACTAAAACTGCTTACAGTGCTTACCATTTTCACAATGCTATTGACTTACTTAATCATGTTATGGTCAGATTAAACTGTTTTCTTGTTTATTGACCAGTCTTCCCTACTGTACAACTTATTTTCATATACTCTGTTTGATTGACAGATGCTATTTTATACATTCATTAAGCATCTATATCTGTAAATATTTTTCCAAAGTTAGCTATGATTCAACCCTGTCAGAATACATCATCCCTCTGTAGTTGCAAACATTTGTATAAGGATATGCTGTAAGAACGTCCAGCAAACATTTGTATAAGGATATGCTGTAAGAAGGTCCAGCAAACATTTGTATAAGGATATGCTGTAAGAAGGTCCAAGGATATGCTGTAAGAAGGTCCAGCAAACATTTGTATAAGGATATGCTGTAAGAACGTCCAGCAAACATTTGTATAAGTATATGCTGTAAGAACGTCCAGCAAACATTTGTATAAGGATATGCTGTAAGAACGTCCAGCAAACATTTGTATAAGGATATGCTGTAAGAACGTCCAGCAAACATTTGTATAAGGATATGCTGTAAGAACGTCCAGCAAACATTTGTATAAGGATATGCTGTAAGAAGGTCCAGCAAACATTTGTATAAGGATATGCTGTAAGAACGTCCAGCAAACATTTACTCACATGCTGGTCTGTGGAACTACAGTAACATGCCATAAGTTAACGGACAGATGGGTGTACCTCAGATATCTTAATGTTGTTTCAGGTGACCACTGTCCAGTTGAGTGACCTTCCAGGCTGCACATTGTCCACCCTCAGTCACTGCTGGGGTCTCAAGTCCCTGACGTTGACCAGCTGTAATCTATTAGCCCTGGACAGTCTTCATGAATGTAAACAGCTGCAGTATCTGAATGTGAAGGTCAGTTCAAGGAAACAACATATAAGTAGTACACCAGTTTGTATGGTCAAAACTTGATGATAAACAAACTTATTTGTCTGAAATATATTCAGTATTAAAAATTCAAGAGGGGCCTTTGTCATAGGCTAATGTTCTGAAGAGGACCCAAGCATCTTCACTGAGCTCAAATATTACTGACTGAAATGAAAGCTCATTCATTAATTTGTTTATGTTCTTATAGTAATTTGAAATGAACAAAACACTCCTCTAGTGGCATAACAATGTGTTTCTTGACATCTGGACAGGATATGTTGGTGTTTTTTTTCAGTGCATAATATTTGAGAGCATGCTATCACACCTTCATAGCATTGATGTTCTAATGCCTTCATTTTGGGCATGGTTTGCCTAGTTGTCTAATGTGTCACTTGAGTCCCTGAGTTTTTCCATTCAGTTTATCTCTACCATACTCATATTTATGCGCTGTGTCAAAGTGGTTACTATATAGAATCAGTCCCTCCAAGATCAGCCCATGAAGATCCGCATCAGAATATTGATCTCCAGTAGCCCATGCTTGTCATAAGAGGCGACTAACAGGATCGGGTGGTCAGGCTCGCTGACTTGGTTGACACATGTCATCAGATCCCAATTGCGCAGATCGATGCTCATGCTGTTGATCACTGGATTGTCTGGTCCAGACTCGATTATTTACAGACCGCCGCCATATAGCTGGAATATTGCTGAGTGCGGCATAAAACTAAACTCACTCACTCACTCACTGCTCCAAGATCAAGCTAACAAGCCATGAAGTTGATTAAATAGGATTCAAAGTGGCATAACATCCAGTTCACTGACTGCCTGTTTCAGAGGAACAAGCTGGAGTATGTTGACCTGAAGGATCTGGGAAATCTGCAGGTCGTTAACCTCTCTAACAATAACCTGTCCCTCGTACATGGGCTCGACGGCTGCACCAACATCCGCTGGCTTGACCTCTCTTGTAACAGGATAACAAGATTAGGTGATTTGGTTTTTTGCTTGTTTTTTGTTTAATACCACACTCAGCAATATTCCACCTATAAGATGGTGGTCTGTTTATAACTGAATTGAAACCATATAATCCAGTGATTGACATCATGAGCATATATCTTCGCAATTGAGATAAGATGTCATGTGCCAGCCAGATCAATTAGTCTGACCACATAAGTCACATTAGTCATTTCTTATAATAAGCTTGGTGTGCTGGAGATAAATTTTTACCTGTATCTTCACAGATGAGATTAGGTGCACTTCTGTATCATTTAAACCTAAACATGACATGAATATGGAACAACTTTCACACACTCAGTCAGTCACTTACTCAATCAATCACTCAATGTTTTTCCTTTAACCAGGCTGTCTGGATCCCCTTCGTCGGCTTCACACTCTTATATTGTCCAGCAACCAGCTCATCAGTTGCAGCGGAATCAGTGATGTCCCAACACTACAGCATCTCAACCTCTCCAACAACCATCTGCAGCGACTTGATGGCCTCCACAAACTGTGCCTGTTGCAGAGGCTGGACGTGTCCGCTAACAACCTACTGCAGGTATCACTAGAAACAACCACTAAATTTGTTGGCTATTGAGCTGGATGTATGGATGTATTATCTAAACTTCTTCTTTCTAAAGAACATCTATTAAGTATCAAATCTTAAAAATCTTGGGTTTATTGCATATAGCACTATCCTTTCCAAGATAAGTGATTATATGTGTATATGCCTCTATGTAAGAGGCTGCAGGGAAGCCTTCTTGATAAGTGTTGGCTTGTCAGGCCCAAGGCCCAGGTTTGAATCCCCATGTACATAAGACAGGTACAATACATGAATGCTACCTTGATGTTATGGCTGGAATGCTAACAGGGGCCGTGGGATAGTCTAGTGGTTAAAACGTTCGTTCATCACTTCGAAGCCCAAGGTTCGATTCCCCACATGGGTACAAAAACACAGCATAAAACCATACTTACTCACTCCCTTGCTGGAATACTCACAAAACCAAACTCACTCAGTGCCTCCTTCCCTGTGTAGTTCCCTGATGTAAGGAACCAGGTGTTGCTGGAGGAGTGTGACGTGTCGGACAACAGCATCAGCTCCCTGGAAGGACTCACCTCCTGCTGGCTGCCTCTCCTCACTACCCTCAATCTCGCCAAAAACAGGTCAGTCAGTGCACCAGACTTACCCCATTTTACATTTTCAACATCTCCTGTAACTATGAATGATCCCAGCGACCGTGTCTCTATAATATGATCACTGAATTCAGATCATGTTTTGATATTCCTTCACATACACCTTTTTATCCCCCGCAACGCATTTTGTGGGGGGGTATTAAAATACATTTTGTCCGTGCGTGCATGCATGCGTCCATGCACATTTGCCTTTTCCGGAGCAGAACTTTTAAACCTTTTAATATTTCTGCACCAAGCCTGGCACATAGATAGGTCTGGTGGTGTACTGGTGCCTTTTGGTAGTTTTGGATTTGTAAATAAAATATTTCTTGCGTTTCCATGGCAACAAGTTTGATTTTGACTGAAATTCGTGTTAGTGCACTTTTCCGGAGCAGAACTTTAAAACCGTTCAATATTTCTTCACCACACTTGGCACATAGATAGGTCTGGTGGTGAACTGGTGCCTTTTGGTAGTTTTGGACTTCTGAATAAAATAATATTTTTCCTTATCCTGACTCATGCTTATTGCTTGTCTTCTTCTTCCTTGCGAACATAGTGGAACACGTGTATTTCCCTATTGAAGTTCCCTTCAATAAAAAATCACTAATTAGAACTCACCACGAGTTACCTCCCTTCCACAAGCGCCGGAACGAGGGCGCCACCTCCACCCATGTGCCTCACTCTCTCCTTCTTTGCCCAGTGAGCAAGACGTGAGAGCACCTGTGTCTCCCTGCACACTATATCCTTTATTTATATTTAGTTTATTACCTCTTATATTCATCTATAGAGGTGTAACTAGTATCCTTATTCAACATGCATTGATAATTATTCGTGTTTCTGCTGCTTGATTCACGGTTTGCTGTGTTTGCTCAGCAGTTTGCGTTAATAAAAATCTGCTCTGTTTGTAAATTACGTTACTCTGCTACCGATCCGCATTTAAGATGCCCTAGTTGCATATCTCCATGCTCTATTGTTTCATGCTGTAAATTATGTATTAATTTGTCTAATTCTGCCTTTGATAAATATTTATATTCCGTCTTGTGACGGATGGTAGATAGATCTCGGAAACAATCTTCAGTCATGGCTAATAGATCGGAGTCAGAAATACCTTCGGGGGATAAGCGTGGGACGCAGTCCGCTATATCCTAGAAGCGACCTGCATCCCAGGACGTTCCTTCATCACAATCTAAGACTAGAAGAGCTTCCACGTCGTCTCAACGTACGCTCCAAACCCCCAGGTCTACAGCTTCGTCAAAAGGGAAATCCACGAAGGCTACTAAAAAACTTTGCTCTGATATTCAGAATTATGTTTATATGATGATGACATTCCGATTATCATTCCAGATGTACGTTATAAGAAGTGACCGGTATCGGCTACCGTCACTTCAGCGCAGATCAACATGCAACCAGAGATGCCTACGCTGACGCCGGAGATTATAACTGAGGGTCCCCGTCACTATCACAGAGAGGACACCCTCAACGCCAGCGCAGACCATCCCAGACGACCTGGTCAACCAAATCATGAGACTGATGGAGGACCGTTACGGTTTACAGAGGCCCCAGAGCCACGGGCCCCAGAGCCCAACCCATAATAAGTCATACAGGGCCCCAGAGCCCGCCTTGGCTTCGCGTAGGGCCCCAGAGCCCACAAACGCGCCTCCGCGAAGGGCAATCCAGCCCATAGCGAACACTTCGCTAAGGAAGTCCCAGGCCGCCTCCGCGAAGGAGCTAGAGCCTCACCAGTTGCGAGGGACATCGCGGAGGAGGAGCGCTTCGCCGAGCCCACACCCTGTAGAACACAGGTCGTTCGCGAAGCAAGCGCTCATATATTGATCGGACTCTGACTCGATACATTCGCGAAGGTCGCGAAGGCTAAGTGGCTCCAAGTCTACTTCACCCAGAAGATCTATAAGGGATACTTCGAGAGCTTCGCTAAGTCCCCGGCGTTCGCCGAGGAAGTCTCCTCCAAGGTCTCCATATACTAGCCACTCGTCATATATAACCACTCGTCAGTCCGTTCAAGACATCGCATGAGTTGTCTATCAACTGTATGCCATATGCTGTCTACAAGCCTACGCGAAGACAATTGCACAGGCTATTTACAACACAGAACGTCGCTGTATTATTTTATCAACAGATGAAGAGCCTAATTAAGGATCTTCAAGCCGACTACCTACATCAAGGGCATCAACGACGTTTCGTAGATCTTCACAGGAATCAACTTTTCCGTATAGATTGCTAGGTATGCAATCCCGGACTACGATACGATTATCTACATGCGTGACCATTACGCAGATCTGCAGACTAATTCAATAACGAAATTGAACAGCAGCCTTGTTACAGCGAGTATAACTCATAATCGTCAACGATTTCTGAGAAGAAATATGTACAACAAGTTCAGCTTTAATTCTACAATTATGACGATACATTCATGTATACAGTCTACAAGCTGACAACTTGCAAGTTTTATTGAACCTTTATATAAGGAAGTCGGAATTATCTTCAAGACTGAAGTTACTTTCACGACAGCCAGGAAAATAACCTACCCAGCATTAATATTACAGAGCGAGGTATTTCGCGGAGGGTTCGCGCGTTTACCATTAACCCTCGAAACACGTGGTCACTCGGGTAACTGCGGGAAGCTACGGTGAAGACCGACGATTGTTCTAATATCAACGACGGCACTATATTATACAAGGTTCCTTTTCCTGCTACACCGGTGACATCACAGCGCGGGTACTCTACAGAATCAAAATGCCTTGTTCTGATTGGACCGCGATGGACAACGCCCTACGCAGAGGTCGATCATAGTTCACAGTTCAAGACTTAGGTTGCAAGTGACAACAATATATCAGTGAACGAGCAAGCCTCCTTACAGTCCAGCTAATCTGAACCTTCATGATTGGGCTGCCTTCTTGAGGTTAGAGACCTCCCCTGTCAAGTAAGGACGAGGGCACAGGCAGTCAGGCGATTTTTTACATAAAGTTCAACGATGGCAGTCACACCTGGTTGTGCACCTACATCGTCAAGGACTTCGCAGCGAATTTACCTAGACGACGGGATACAAGTGGATCCAAATCCACAGCGTCTCAGACTACAGTTGAATTTCATCATCAAGCTACTAACACAACTAGATGGTTAGTAAACCTACCTAAGTTGGACCTAGAACCTTCACAAGATCTGCTAATTCTAGGTTTTTGATTTGTAACGGCACAGAATCATATAATTGTACCGGAGGACCATGGATCAAGATCCAACAGTCAATTCCACAAGCCTTACTCTCTCCGCTACCACTACGACAGTGGCAGAGCCTGTTGGGGTTACGCACACAGCTCAAGACATGACAGGCAGAGGCAGACTACAATTACATCCGTTACAAGTCATCATCAATTCGCATCTAGACGAATCTCTACCGTTCAATTTACCGGTTCAGGTCAAACCTCATCTACTATGGTGGACCAAGAGATCGAATGTTTGAATAGGCGTCTCGTTAATAGAGCTGGAATCGATAACACTTCTCTACGTAGATGTGTCACTACAAGGTTGGGGAGCCCATCTTGCCAACAGGACGGCATCAGGGCTATGAGCAATCAAGAGAGCAAATTACACATAAATCTGCTAGAGATGCAAGCAGTGTTAAACGCCTTAATGCACTGGAGCAACTTACTACAGTATACCCAGTGGATGATTCACACAGTCAATTCGACAGTGGCGTTTTTATGTGAACAAACTAAGCTCAACCAGGTCCCCGAACCTATCGACTCTATGTTTTCAATTGTTCGATTTAATCGACAATCTCAACATACATGTCAGAGCATATCACATTCCAGGAGCAAAGAATGTGATAGCAGACGCTCTCCCTCAGCCACACATACCATCGCCGACAGAATGAATGCTCCTTACAGAGATATTCATTCAAATTATCAAGGAAATAGGAACTCCACTAATAGACCTATTTGCCACTGGATTCAACAAACAACTGACACATTCGTATCGCCAGTTCCAGACCCACTAGCATTGGCAACAGACGCACTAAGCATATCGTGGGAAGGACTCAACGCGTACGCTTTTCCGCCACCAGCGTTAATCTCACAAGTTTACTCAAAATCAGTCAAACGCAGAGCCTCCATCTGAATTTGGTCGCGGCCTACTGACCAGCGAGAACGTGGTTTCCAACTCTTATTCAAGAAATCGGACAACCAATACTACATCTTACAGAGTGCTCGAATCTGTTAATACATCCGCACGGAAAGCCAGAAATATTCCAACTTCACATATGGATTGTATCAAGGCGTGTCTGAATAACAGGTTATTCAGCCAGAGCGGCAAAGCAGTCTAGCTTGCCCTGCGTAACTCAACTTGCAACTTATACGATGACAAATGGCACAGTTTTGTCAATTATGCTGCAAAGGAAGGATTTACAGCTAGATATGCTACTCATCCTCAAGTGGCTGACTACTTATGTTGTCTATGTCAGACTAACATTTTAAAAGGCTCAACTTGTCCACCTATCTTGCAGCAATAGCTCTGTCATAACTGAGAACGGGCGTCAAGTTAACCTAAACCCAGTTACTCGCCTTGCTACGAGCTTTCCGATTGGAGGATTAAAACGGAAGTTTCACGCTCCAACTTGGGATCTGAATATAGTGCTCCAACACCTCACAAGTGAGGTTTATGAACACGCTTTGATGATATACTTGGACCCCATGATACGATGAATCTATCACGATGGCCAGTAAGAGCACTGAAAATATATCTCCACCGAGCCAAACAGGAGGGAAAAATTCAAGAGATTTATTTCCTCTATCAACAAGCTACGCTGACTGAAGTCTCACGTACTACTATCTCCTTTTGGATCAGAACTGTCATACTACGTGCCTACAAGACTGCAGGACTCGACCCTCCAAGAGCTTCTAATCCTCATGATATTAGAGCGCGCTAACATCTACACTTGATCTACACGGCAAGTGCTATTGAAATACCATAATGGA